TCATTCTTGATTTTGTCTGTCCTATTAATTCTTCTGCCTCAATATATGTATCTCTAGTCCATCAACCTTTCTCCCTCATCACTGTTACTAAACCTTAAATCCAAGCTGCTTTCTTCTCTCTTTGGACCCTTGATCTCCTCACACTCATTCCTGAGCCCTCAAATTTATGCTTCTTCTCACAGTGGCCAGAGACACCTTTAAGAGGCAAAGTTGACTGTATTGCATGAGATCATACTATATGGGAACTCTCTACACTGTCTTCACAATTTTTCTGTAAATTTTAAAACTATTCTAAAAATTTTAAAGTTTACTTAAAAAAATTGTTTTTAAGACAACAAAGCTGGGTATGTAAATTTTCCCTTAAAATCCTTTAGTGCCTTTTTGTTTTTGTCGTTGATGTTGTTTTTAACATGTAAGAGTAAACCCCAAATTCTTTGCATGGCCTACAAGTGGCCTTTGCATGTGACCCAGCCCTCCTTGCCTTGTGTAGCGCTCTTGGCCTCTCCCTGCCCCAGCCTCTCGGGCCCTCTCTGTCACACACCATCAGGCTCCTTGCTGACAAGGGGGCTAACTCCTCCACCTTCAGATTTTAGCTCAGTGTCACTTCCTCGGGACTTCTTACATCATTCTGCATTGTCTTTTGGGGACTTGTCAATTGCAGTTACATTTGTGTTTTTGTGATTTTTTTTTTTTTTGATGTCAGTCTATCTCACTGGACTGTGAGCTGCAGGAGGGCTGAGGCCAGGTCTCTCTTGCTTCTGGTGCTTGTACCTCCTAGGACTTATAAATTGAATGAATAATTAAATAGTGAGAAAAAAATCTGTGGTGACATTTTTGCTTATTGCTCTAGAGACTGCTAGACCCAAACAGTGCAAACAGAGGGAATTATAATGGTGCAGTTTGCTTAAAATTTTAAAAACACAAGATGACCACAAGTCACTTATAAAGGACCTAAAATGCCTTCTGACCCCTAAAAAAAATTAAATTATGGGCAAGGTAAAAACAAAAACCTCACAACTACTTAATTACTAGTTAATAACTAATTAAAGTTAATGTAAGGCATTGAAAAGTTGTCAAAACATCTCCCCATCTTTTTCTTGTAGTTAGAAAAAACTCAAAGAATTAATAACTATCTCGGGAACAGGAAAGGAAAAGGAAGAATCTTGAAAAATACTTTAAACCTTCTGCTGAATTCATCTGTTGGCTAAATTTCAAAAGCATTAATCTAGAGATTTCAAATTACATTTTAATAAAGTAAAAAGTAATTTCAGCTTAATTTTTGAAATAGTTTTGATTTTTTTTTTGACACAGTGCTGCATACTTGTTGTGTTCAAGAATTGTGGAGTCAAAAGGCCAAAAGGAACTCAACCCAAACATTGTACTGTGATTAATTTTTCTCTCTTTCCATCTCCAATTTAAATGAAAAATGTTCCTGTAGTTCTGTAATGTTTTTAATCACTGGAGGCCTGTCCAGTATATTTACTTGCCATGAGAGCTTAGTCAGTGATTTCATCAGCAAAGAGACAAAAAGGCACCAAGTAGTATATGTGCTGGACCAGAACAAACATTCCACTTAAAGATAATATGCCTTGTTTGACCACTGAATGATATATGTAGCCTGACTTCTCTCAGTTAAAAAGAGCCCATTTTGCTTGCACAATAGGCACTTGAAGGCTCTCAGAAATACAGGCTTAACGGGACCTTGGAGTCCCGAGAGAGATGGCAAGGAGAGACCTTGCCCACTCCCTTGATCACAGTCATGAGAAACCTGGAGAAAAGTTCTCCTCCTCCTTACAGTTCACCCCTTCCTGTTGGAACTTGAATGGAGATGGACAGAAAAATTCTGGCCGTGTACACATCGGACTGTTAACAATGGTGGGAGGGAGGAAAGAAATAGATACTTTTCTTTTGTTATTAAAAAAAGCCATTAGCGATTAAAAAACAAATTATTGTGTGTAGTCACTTGCTCAGATTTGGTTTTCTCAGCTTATTTAGCTTAGCAATTTACTATATTCAACTTGCTATTTTTGATAAGACATTTTAATTTACTGAAAATTATATTTAAGTTATTAATATTAATTTTTCTGATTTTCCTGGCCCCTGAGCTCTTAGAGGTTAAGAAAATGGAAGCTCAGATTCTCCCTATTTAGCAGATCCTCTCAAGCAAAAGCTGGCTTCGTTGTTCTGTGTCCTGCTCTGAATCTCTATGTTCGCGCAGTTTTTACTTATGTGTTCCTTACTGACACTTCTATGAAGTTTTTGTAGTGTTAATTTATTTTTCTTTATTATGTAGGATTTGGGTTTTTTTCAGTAAGTGTTGGTCTAGGCACCTAGTTAGCCATTCTGTTGGGAACGAACCTCATCATTTTTGCAGTAATACATGGTTTGTGTATTATGTAATTTCTGTCAGAGCTGTGAAATGGTGTAACAGCCAATGGCACTTTTATGTCATTCAATAGATCAGCCCTCCCATCACCAAACATTAACCTGAGAGTTTTAGCATGCATTTTGTTTGGTGAGTTTTTTGCAAAATGCAGATGAATATGTGATAGTTTTTCGTAGGTTAAAATGAGGATGTGTGTGAATCTGTGGTGTGGACCTGGATGGGGCCTTGATTGCCCATAAAGCTATGTATTAAAACAAATTCAAATTGACCTTTTTGGGAGAATTTCAGCTCTCCTGCATGTGTGACTTATCACACTTGTTCAAGCTAAAGTTGGATGGTTTCACACCCGTGTCCTTAATGGGTATCCTAATTTTCATAAGCCCTGCCGCATATCTTGTCTTCAGTGTAGCCTTATCCTTTGACCAGCTTAAAACAACAAAATAACAATAAAAACTGCTTCCGAGGAACTTGTCAGGAGGTTATAAATGAATCCTTGTTGCTTTTTATTATCTTTAAAAAGTTCTACTAGGAGGAGGGTATAGCTCAAGTGGTAGCACACATGTTTAACATGCGTGAGGTCCTGGGTTCAATCCCCAGTGCCTCCTCTAAAAATAAATAAACCTTATCACTCCCTCCCAAAACCAAAAAACTTAAAAAATTTTTAAAAATTGGGATACAAAAAAAGTTCTACTGAAAGAAATCAATTTTTATGGTTTGTCTAAAGAGTTTTTAAATCCATTCAACTGAAATAAAATCTAAATCCCAAATGAAGTCAGAGAGCTGATACCTGGGTTTAATTGACCTTCCCGTGGAATGATTCTACTAAACTGCCCTTTGGGGTGATTGCCATGAGCAGCAGCCCAGGAAACACCATTTCTGGGTTTCCTTAAAAAGAGATGTTGAGGGTGCTCTTTACTACCTAAGCATAGGGTTTCTCCTCTGTCAACTCCCAAGGGTGAATTTCCTTCTGAGATTTCCAAGAGCAGTTTGGTTGTAGACACTATGAATTCAGGGCCTGATTATTTCTCCCTTTCTCCTTTGGCTGCTGGAAAGCTTAGCATCTCAAATTCCAGCTTGTCAAGTGTATATAATTTCATGAATGTATTTTTGTTTACCAATCTCATTGCAGGTTTGAATTTATTTTCCTACCCTTACTTTCCCTTTAACTTATTTTTTTACCCTATAAAATGCACATTTTAAAAACTATTTTGAATATTTTTTCGAACATAGCCAAGTATATACAAAATCATTTGATTATTGTTTCAAATAATGCAAATCAGTGAATAGCTATGTTTCAGAAATGAAATTACACAATTACATATTTGCTTTTGCTTATATAAACATTATCAGCATCTGGAGAATTAGATTTCAGTACAATTTCTGTCTCTAGACCCAGAGGAACAAATGCAAAGACAGCGGAGACCACTAGTATAATTTCTGAGAAAGACTGCAGCTTGTTCCCTCATTTGTTTGGACAAACAAATTTTCAAAAGTAAAATCATTCTCCTTAAACATTGTGTAGATTTCAGTAATCTGATAAATGCGCTATTTATTCATTGCCTCTCTGGTACCCACACAGTGGTTTATCCATAGCAACAGTCCTTTTTAAACTCAATAAGACCAACTCTGTATTTATTAGGGAAATGATAGCACCAGGTTAAACAAACTGACTGTTGGTTCTGTGTATTTACTCTTTCAAAGAGATCTGCTAAACCTTTGGTGTGTTCCATGTTGTGGATCATTAGGGAGACTGAATTGGGTATGACTCTATGATTCTGAATGTGCTATTTTTGTAATGTGTTTAGAGTCAAGTAATAAAGATGATCAGCAAATAAAGCTTTAAAAATAAAGTACTATTTTGTGCTTTGAAAATAGAGCCAAATTCTTCTCTGTACAGTAGAAATCAGAGGTATATCATGGTAAATATTACCACTCCCAGTCTATCGAGGATAAATAGAATACTTAATACTGGCTCAGGAAAACATATTTCAGTTTTACTTGACTCTAGAAATTACATTGATGTGGAATCTGTAAGAAAGGCTGTGCCTCAAAAAAAAAAAGGTAGTTCAGAATTAGAGGTTTTCATAAGAGAATGGATTCTTTTTAAAGACTTAGAATTGCTGTTGAAATGAAAATTAAACCTACGATCTTTTCATGTCAGTTGTTGAGAAATGAAGTAGTGTTTTAAAACACGAAGTGTTAGAGTTCATGTAATCCAGTATCCTTATTTTACAGCCATGAATGCTTTTAGAAATTACTACAGAAGCCTAGCGTCTCTCATCTCAAATGTCCTTGTACAATATTTTAAAAAAGCAACAATTAACTATAATTTGTTATGCTTCCATCCTACAAAGTATACTAATGGGAATTTGATAAACTTCTATAAGGGCAGACTGTTTAATATTTCCATTTTGTTTTTGTTTTTTTGTGCACAATAGAATAGAGCATATTTTTTCTTTATTAAATTTTTAATGTAGATTAGTAGTGGGGCTCTGCATTTATGAATTGAACCTGCTTTGATAGAATCCTTGCTGTGTTAAATATTTCTTTTTTCTTAGATAAAAATTTTGGTAGCTTTAGCATTTAAATTATTTCTTTTTCTTTGTATTCACAGATTCTGGAACTTTTCAAAGCCTGACCCTCTTCTTGAAACAGTGGAACATCATACAGAATTTACTTGTGGTTTAGATTTAAGTCTTCAGAGTCCTACTCAGGTAATGGGTCAATCACCTCATGTTTTTTTCTACCCATACAGTTTACAAAATAGCTCTACGTGTGGCATGTGTTGCTTTTATGAACAAAATTGTTACCTTTAGGGCAGGGCAGAGTACATTTACTTAATAACCTTGAGCATTTGAAATACTAGGGAAGAAGAGATAACCAGAAATTTGACGTTCCTCTCTCCTCTTGAGAGACTGGCTTTTCTGAGAGGAAAAGGAAACTTCCCCCAAAGTATTGTGCCTAACATGTAGATCTCT